ATCTTATCAAGGATCAATTCTCGGGGGAGGTTCTAGCCAAGGGTCTGCTTGATCATGCTTTTCATAAGCTTCATCCGTTTCGGAATTTAAAGTCTTCTGGTTGTCATCATGTTCGTCTTTCGTCTGTGTCGTGGCATCAACGTCTTGGTCATCCCCATTCGAGGATTTTCAATTTTGTTTTGTCCTTTCGTCTGTGTCGTCGGATCAAGTCTTGGTCATCCCCCATTCGAGGATATTTCAATTTGTTTTGTCAAAATTGTTCCTTCCTGTGTCTATTGTTAAGGAGAAGTGTGTGTGTCCTTGTCGTTTAATTTAAAAGCACAGAGAGGTTACCATCTTGTGATCTCCTTCCTGTTAAAGAGTAGGTCGTCCTTCTTGAACACATGATATATTCAGATTTATGGGAAACCTGCCCCGATTACTTCAAATTGATGGCGCTTTCGGTATTATATCATGATTGTGACCATTGACCACAAAGTACAGTTGGTTACATCCTTTAAAAGCAAGAGTCTAAAGTCTTATGCACTTTTTGCCTAATCTTTTCAAAAGCTTGTCGAAAATACTTTCAATTCTACAATAAGATATTTAAAGATGGGGTGTGAATATGTTGCTCTTAGAGAAATACTTTTCAAAATTGTTGGCATAAGATCATTTTACACAACCGCAGCCTCATTACACCACGAACATAATGGTGTCTCCGAACGTCAGCGTATCGCACTTGTTGAAAACTTCGGTCTCACATTATGCAACGGCAAAGTTTACTCCCTTTTGTACCTTTGCGTTTTAAAACGGCTCAAATGTTTGATTAAACCGCATTGCCTTACACCATTCTCAGTACTATGCTGTCTCAGCCTATTCTCAAAATTATTTGTTTATTAGACCTAATATATCAGTTCATCTCGTGTGCTTTGGAGGTGGTCTTTGGGTATCCTTTTAGTGACCTTACATGAGCTGAATGTTTTGATAATCAAGTCTCCCGTGCTGTTTTTTTTTTCTATACTCTTTCAAAGATGTAAATAAGTGCGTATGTTGCTATAATCTCAGTCAGAATAAAGTTAGGTTACTCTTCAAATAAAAGTGCGTATGTTTGCTATAATCTCAGTCAGAATAAGTATATTGAGTCACGTCATGTTATATTTCTAGAGAACACCTTTCCCTTTCAACTTCCACAATCTCAAGAGTCCTTATCTTCGTTGAGTTGGTATAATGTTCCTTCTTTTGAACCTTTGTCCATGACTACTCCATTCGTTCCTACATCAGTTATGTCTGTCTCTTTTGCTATTCCAAACCCAATGCCCACCGTGCCCATTCATCACCGGCCTATTTCGTTATCTTCTCAACCTTTGTTGGGTTCAACTGCTTCTTCGTCACCACCTGTACAAGTTTCTGCTGCTCCTGTCACATCTCCAACCGACACTGTTACTTCTTTGAATTCGACTACAATTCTTCCAACCGTGAATAATCATCCAATGATTTTGCGATCAAAGAATAATATTCGAAAACCAAAAATATTAAATCATGTAACCAAGCACCCTTTACCTAATGTGGCAGAACCATCTACAGTAAAATAGGCTTTAGCCGTTCCTGAGTGGCATACTGCTGTGTTAGCTGAATTTAATGCTTTGCTTGATAATAACACTTGGGTACTTGTTCCATCTCAGTCTTCTCATAATCTAGTTGGTTGTAAGTGGCTTTATAGGGTAAAAAGAAATGCAGATGGTTCTATACAGTGATATAAGGCAAGGTTGGTAGTCGCGGATACAATCAGAGACCAGGAGTTGATTATATTGATACTTTCAGTCCCGTGGTGAAACCTGTTACAATTCGAATAGTGCTTACCTTGGCAGTTTCGAATTCATGGCCCTTGATATAGCTTGACGTTAATAATGCGTTCTTGCATGGTCCCTTACAGGAGGAAGTCTTTATGCAACAACCGCCTGGGTTTAAAGATTCTTCCAAGCCTAATCATGTCTGTAAGTTGCTTAAGGCTCTTTATGGTTTAAAGCAGGCACCGAGAGCATGGTATCAAGCTCTTCGATCGTTCACTGTACAATATGGGCTTCAATTATCTCAGTATGATCATTCATTATTTCTTTATCGACAAAGATCTACATGTTGTTATTTTCTTGTGTATGTGGATGATTTGATTATAATAGGGAATGATTCAAAATTTATCTCTCGATTTGTACAAGCTTTGGGGAGTAGATTTTCGTTAAAAGACCCCCAGCCATTGTCGTTATTCCTTGGTGTAGATGTTCATCAAACATCGAATGGCTTATTTCTCTCCCAGCATCATTACATTCGCACTCTTTTGGAAAGAGGGAATATGGATGGTGTTAAGGTCGTGTCTACTCCAATTGTCGCAGATAGCAATTTGAAGAAATCCGAATCTAGGTCTTCTACAGTGGATCCTACTACCTTTCGAAAGTTGATTGGCGGGTTGCAATACCTTAGTCTCACACGACCGGATATTGCATTTACTGTTAATAAGCTGTCGCAGTTCATGCAATATCCAAACACCACTCACTGGCTAGCTCTGAAACGATTGCTTCGATACCTTAAGTCCACCATTGATTTTGGTATTCATATAACTTCTCAGTCTAAGCTAGTTTTTCATGCTTTTTCGGATGCAGATTGGGCAGGAGATCCTTCGGATAGAACTTCAACTACGGGATTTATTTTATATTTTGGGAAAGTACCGATAAGTTGGAGTTCTAAAAAGTAACATACAGTTGCTAGGTCTAGTACAGAAGCGGAATATAGGGTCGTGGCTTCAACCGCAGCTGAAGTTCAATGGATTAAGTCGTTGCTAATAGAACTTGGTTATACGGTACCATCACCAGTCATCTATTGTGATAACATATCCACAATGTATACCTGTAAAAATCCTGTCTTTCATACCAAGATGAAACATCTTGAAATAGATATTCATCTTGTCCGTGATTTGGTTCAAAAAGGAGATCTCCGTGTCACTCATATATCGTCAAAGGATCAACTAGCTGATTTGTTGACAAAACCATTGTCACGCTTGAAGTTTCTGGACAACAGGTCCAAGATTGGTCTCCAAAATGGATCCTCAATCTTGCGGGGGAGTGTTAGAGATAATAGCGGTTCGGGTTTGAAATCAATTCCAATCACTTGAGTATATCTTCTGTTGTAACTAATTTGTTTTGATTGGTTAGTTTTGTATTGATTGCTATAGGAGGTCAGTGTACATAGGACTCTCTTGTATCTATTTAACAAACTCTCATATCAGAAATAAAGTTTGTATTGATTGCTATAGGAGGTCAGTGTACATAGGACTCTCTTGTATCTATTTAACAAACTCTCATATCAGAAATAAAGAACTTTTCATTTTCTGATCAAACTCTTTCAAGGCTGACAACATAGGCAATAAGGATCGTGGATGGGGATACCACGCTATTGTAAAACGGACCAAGTAGGGAGAAAAGCCTGGCAAGCCCGCCATAAAAAGAGCTTAAATTTAGATGGAATGTGCAAACTCCATACCTGCTTCCATAGCTTAACAAAAGCAATATTTTCCACCTACAGAAAACGTGAAGAAATAACATGATAAACCGACTTGATAATATAATGCCCATTTTTTGTCTAATGTCACACCAAAAAATCATCACTAAAGTACAAACTCAGAGGAGTTTTAAGAATCGCATCAGCATCCTCAAGATTAAATAAACCTCGAACAAGCAATTCATTCCATTTCTTAGCATCACCCTCTAATAAATCAACAGCAAAAAGAACTTCAAAACCCAGTAACACCTCATACATAACTTGAAAGGAATCATCCCTGGTCAATCATAAGCGAGATTAAACGTTAATAAAAACATTCCAACCCGCCACAGAAAGTCACTACAAACAACATCTTTAGCCTCAACCAGACTCCTTCAAATAAAGCTTGGGATAGTGCTAACCACAACTCCAAGAAAATCCACAAATGGGAAATACCTTGCTTTGAGAACTTTGTATAGAAGAGAATTAGGACATGAGATAAGACGCCACACCTGTTTTGCAATGAGATCAAGGTTGAAACTGTGGAGTGTCTAAAACCAAGGCCTCCCACTAACTTGCCTAGACACAGACGATTCCAAGCAAGCCAGTGCATTCCTCTATGGACATCGTTTGTGGAACCCCACCAAAAGGAATTAGGCATCCTATGCAATTCTTAATATGTAGAGATAAAAAGCAGGAACTCGCTCATACAATAGGTAGGGATAGATTGAGCCACCGACTTGATTAACACCTCCTTGCCCGCCTTCGATAAAAACCAAGTTTTCCAGCTATGGATTACCCTACGAAGCTTATCCCACAGAAAAGAAAAAAACATCCTTTTTATTATGCCAATGAGAGATGACAAACACAGATTCCTGCCGTGGTTAAGGGGAGTAGAGATACCAAGAATAGTATAATTTTTTTTTTTTCAAATTAGTAAGATTTTTTTTAATTTTAATAAAAATTACAACACATTTTTTTAATTTATTGAGAGACCCAATTAATCAAATAACATCATAATCTATTTAACAACAATAATTCATCTCCAATTTGAGATATTTTATTTTTCAAATTAGTAAAAACTAACCACGTCATATTTAATTTGGGATTTGGAGATTCCTTTAATTTTAATTCTTCACGGTATTATGAAATATATTAAAGAAATTAACCATTGCTATTAGCTTAGATTACGCATGCAAGGAATTACAGCCCTACACCCAAACAAAGTTAAACGTCGGTGCATGGAACGCCGTGAGAACTCCAAGCGGCCATACGTGTCAGAACTCAAGTGGAAATTCACTTTCCTACAGTACTCTACAAGTTACGTGTCAAAATCTTTCTATATAAATATCCTACATTTTACTAGCAAAATCCCGAGAACCAAATAACCATCAATCCGACACAGTTTTGCACTTTAATCAAATGTGCCTCACGCCTACGGCACGTACTGTACAGCCCTCTCCTTCCCGTGTATAAAGAAAGTACAAAACAGAAGGAACCACAAAACAATTTGCGTTCGCCTCTCTCTCATCATCTGCGGAGAGACTCTCTTTATTTATTTTTTATTTTTTTATATTAGGAGGAAAGATTGATAAATATAACAATAATAATAGCAGTAGTAAATATAAGAATTGAAATCGTTTAATCTTGTGTTGGTGGAATCAGAAACTGTTAAAGACGACGATGGGGAAGAAAAGGAAATCGATTGCAACGAGTCTTGATGAGGTGGATCGGACCATGTACGCTTCGTTTTGTACCGCTGCTAACTCTCTGTCTCAGCTTTATACACAATCTATGAATCACCAGAAACTCTCTTTCCAAGCCGGTGAACGGCATGGCCTTGTAAGATTTTCACATATATTTTGTTTTTTTTATATATTTTGGTGGTGTTAATTGAATTGTAATCTTTAGGGTTTTTTTTTTTCAATTTGAGATTTTTTTTTTTTTTTTTTTTTTTTTTTTTTTTTGTGTTTTTTTTTTTTTTTTTTTTGGATTCTTAATTTGGGATAAAGGTCGTTTTGCAATAAATGTACTTGGATTGTCTTATTCTAACGATATGGGAAGTGTATGGATTGGTTCACACGGTGTTGATTATTGGTCTATCTTGTTTTTTTGTTTGTTCGGGTGTTTTAGTGAATTTTACAATTGATGGGTCTGTGCTTTACCTTTGGTGAATTGCATTAGACTGTTGATGATTGGGTAAATTGTTGAAGGCATCAATTGTTAAACCTTTCAGACTTATGGAAGCAACTGGAGTTTGAAGTTTTGAGTGTTTTAGTTTTTGTGATGAATAAACATAGAGTGTAAAGGACTTGTTTGTTTGGAGAAATAGAGTATTGATTTTTGATGAACTTGTTTGGGAACTGAAGTTGCCTGGAGTACTTTTTCTTTGGAACTTAGTTTTATTTGTCTGTGTTTGAGATGTTTGCCCATTGATGGATTATTTGTCAATGTTTAAGGAGTTGGGTTCACAGTGCACCATTAAATTATGATGGTAGGTGAATATTGCAGAAACCTGGAAGAGGAATCCTGGACTGTGATTATATAAGGAACGAAGTTGTGAGTAGCTACGGTTGTTTAGGCTCAACTATTGGTTGACTTATGACTGGTGAAGTATGGTATCAATGAAAGGAAACTATATGGTATGAAGAGGTGCATTTGAACTTGGGTCAATTGAAATGTTTTGATGTGCAACTATGCAATGTTATTAATTCGATGCTGCGACTGATTAATTGCTCAATTTAATGGAGAATATAATTTTCATTACAACTAATAATGAAAAAGGGATTACATATATAATTGACTTCTATGTTTACTTATGTTGAAAAGGTGGCCCAATAGTGTAATTTGAATGGGAAAAGGAAATCAGTCATGTTGTTAGATTTAATTATATCATTCTTAACATGAACTAAGATTATGATGGTACTCTCAGTATGAGTTTCATTGCATTGGTATGTTGGTCCTTTCATGTTTTGCTTTCCTTGCATGGGATATTAGTGTACCATAGGAAAGCTCTAGTCAAACATTTAAGAAACAAGATTTGTTTGCTTTTGCATATTTTGGTAAAATTAGTTGGTCTTGTAAAAAAAAGCTTAGTCAACTTTTCCAGTTGAAAAAAAAAAAATAAAAATCCATAGAGAAATTGAAAATTACGCTTACACATTCTCTTTCATCTTCTCTAATACCATGTGGCAATTTCCTTGTTTTTCTTGAAAGTTTACTTCACTTGGAATTTGTTAAATTGGTGAAACTCCAATACTTCTGATTTACATGAGAGGGCAATTGGGTTTTTATTTATTTATTCCTTTCTTGGGTAAATGGGACAAGGAAAGAAAGCAGAGATATTGGTCAAGGAAGAAACAAACAAACTGTACCATTCATAAAGTGATATGAGCAGAAGCAACCCCTTGAATTTTCATTCTTGAATCTCTCATTTTGAATTAATCCATTTCTATCTGTCCAAAACTTTCAATTTAAGCCTATCAAAGAAAATAGGACGGCAACCTAATACTTTCACATACACATTAAACCTGATCCCAACCCATTTTTTCCTTCCCCCACTTCCCCTTTCTCCCAATGAAAAAGATTCATGGTAATGTATTTTCTGCTTGAGGTGTGGGAGACACTTTATCAGTAATCTTGAGTTCTGCCATCAGGAAATGTTTTCTCTTCTTTTTGTTATTTTAATTCTAATTAGAGTATTACTTGTATAAGCATCAGACAATGATGAACTGTCCCTTTATATGATTTTGTGAGCCTGTATTTGTATTTATGTTTTTAAGCTGCTATTTTGGCCTGAATATGGTACTGGGCTAATTAACCTGGTCATTTTGTTTTCAGGAAAAACTTTATCAGTGGATCTGGAGACAACAAGAGGGAGGGTCAAGAGTGGCAACAGTTGATATTATCAATTATATTCAGGTTTGCATAGTTTTGTTTACAACTTATTATCTCTTTTTCCTTTAACCTTGTGTTCTTGTGATGAAAAGTTGTTACCATGTCATGGCTGCCTTGCCTTATGCCTAAATAATTTTCGTGAATATTCAACACTTGCCTTTTTGCATGTTTTCTCAATTGTTATTGATCTGCATCTGGCTATATAACTGCAGATGTATCAATACAGAGCTCAAAATAGTAATGTCCCTTGAAGTAAATTTTGCGAGGATATTGGAAATTAGTGAGAATATAGCTATGAACATAGCAGAATGAAGACAAAAAGTTCATATAGCAGACCCTAGTTAGTTGGTGTTGCCTATCTAATGTTTTATTCTATTTACCAATATAATGATTTTGAAACTCTGATAAAAAATTTTCTCTAAAAAGTAATTCAAAATCTTTTTCTGACTTATATTTTGCTTTGAATTGCTATTAATTTGATCGGATCAAGTAGCTTGGGACAAAAGTTTAGTAGTTGTTGTTGTTGTTGTTGTTGTTGTTGTTGTATAGTCATTATCAGATGAATTCATATTGTCCCTTGAAGGCGTTTTATTTCTGTTTAGAAAAGTGTTGTTAGAATCGTACGATTCATATCGAATCTAGGGAAAAACAATAGGAATCTTAGGGTAAAATCAGAAAGCATCCTGAATCGATGGTGAATCGATTGAATCGGTGGTAAATAGCATGAATCGTAAAAAAGAAACGATTCAGGTAAAATATAAAAAAAAATTGGCCCCAGTGCATGCAACCTATAGGAGAAGGAGACTTAAACGGCACAAATTAAGAAAATCAAAAGACGCAGCAAGTCAGAAACAGTAACTCGTTAGCTTGAGTAACAAGAACAAGAAGAAGAAAAAGAAAAGAAATTTGCTTCTCTTCTTCTTCTTCTTCTTCTTCAATAGCCTGTGCTGTATCTCTCTCTCTCTCTCTCTCTCTCTCTCTCTCTCTCTCTCTCTTAATTTTTTTTATTTTTGGTTTAAACTTTAAAACGTCAACTTACATGGCTATATATGGAGTTATGGACTATGTTGTTTGCCACCTTTTTTGCTTTTTTCTTTCTTTTATATGATATTACTTTGCTTTGTTTGAAAAACGTCACTTTTCATGACTATTTAATGGAATACTATTAGAATTAGAAAATATTATATATTGCTTTTTTAGAAAATTAGATATCAAATATATGAGTTATATATCAAATATATCAAATATGGTTTGGATTTGTTTTCTCAATATTATATATTGCTTGTTTAGAAAATTAGATGTCAAATATATGAATTAAACTATTAAAGTGAATTAGTATTGGAATGCAATTGAATAGTTAATATCTTTTGATAAAATTATTAGGAACTATACTTTTAATTGATTTTCAAAAGGTTATAGTGAATCTTATGATTCGATTTCGTAAGTGATGTGTTCGATTCTCGTAAATGAGGCTTCCATTCTTGATTTGACAACCGTGGTTTAGAATAGTCAAAAAGTCCTTTGCTTCTGAATAGTATTGGCTTAAACCGTTTTAATTGTTCCTTCTCAACCCCAGTTGGAGTAGGATTTGCTATTAAGCTATAAATAGCTATTTAAATATTGGTTTAATGAGAAAAAAATAATTGAGGTTTCGGACTTTCTCGAATTCTATCATATACTGCCAATTTGAAATTCATGTACTTTTAATTTTTGCAAATTCTATTGTGAATTTCTTAATCTTTTTTAATTTCATTACCAATCCCTCTCAAGTGTGAAGAGTTCTGAATTTGCTTCAATTCTCCCTCTGATCCACTCTTAGGTGAAATTAGTTTGGAGTTTGCTGCTGTGGCAAGCAATAGTAATGGTACATGCCACATTGAAAGAAAAAAAAAAAGAATTAAACACCCACTTCAGAAACTTACTGTTTTGGTTTAGGTCACTTTGAAGGGATGAATGATCATCCTCAATTATAATTTTTTTAGTTTCAATTCCAGAGTAGGAGTAGGATTTGATTATTAAGGCTACAAATAGCTATATAAATATTTGGCTTAATGATAAAATGTTAATTGAGATTTTCTACTTTTTCCAACTCCATCACATTCTATTAATTTCATTATAGCTTCTTACTTATTCCAACTTTATTATGTACTCTCAATTTTTGCAAATTCTATCATGAATTTCATAATTTCTTTAAATTCTTTACATTGTAGTATCGATCCCCTCTCAAGTAAGCAGAGTTCTGAATCTGCTTCAATTCTATCTTAGACCACTCTTAGGTGAAATCAATTTTGAATTTGCTGCTGTGGCGAGCAAGATTAGTGCCACATTGAAAAAAGAAAAAAAAAAAAAAACAAAGGAATTGAACATGCCAATTCAGAAACTTACCGTTTTGATTTAGATGATATTAAAGTGATGAACGAAAAATCCCATTTCATAGTTTATGCAATTCCAGAGAAGATATGTGCTGTGTAGTATTGTTATAACTTGCTACCTCAGCAAATTCAAAACCATTTTCACATAACAATGGATCAATGGTAGAATTGAAACAATTTAAGGAGTTTGTGATATAGTTGTGAAAATTAAACTCGCAATAGAACTGAAGAAAAAAACAAAAGATGCAGCATTGTTTTTGAAATTAGCTCTAAATATTTTGTATTTGATCTGACCTTGATGGCATTTATTGCACTTCTATGGATGTAAATACTTAAACAAATTAGTTATATAAGACCTAACACTGGATTTGGCTGATGGTTTAACCATGGTTGGTGGCAACCTTGCCTTGGGAAAAAATGTACTGGCAGCTTTTATGTTACGGTAAAGATTTTCTAGTAGTTTCATTTACATATACCTGGTGTTTTCTCATGTGTATGCTCCTTTTATATAGCTATGCATTTCTTGAATGAAAACTAAACTATGCATTTCATGAATGAAAACTATATATGGATAAACATATATAGGACAGGTTTTTGTTGATGAAAAATGATCCTTGCACCTATTGGCAACTAGTTGGCTCAGTTATGTATTATTAATAACAAAGAGTTTTTGTATAATATAATATGATTGTAATGCTTCATGCAGAATGAGCTGGATTATTGTGGAGAAGAGCCACCATTGTCTCCCAGAGCACCATCACATCAGAATTCCCAACCGATTCAGTTTACAAATTCTGGCTTCCTCGTTTCATCAGGTTCATCTGGTCCAATTACTACTGGCCAGGGCACTCGCTCTGAGCACTGTGATCAACAACCCAAAAACTCAGTTTTCTCAAATGCTTTGTCAAGCCCAATCAGAAGGAGTCTCCCGAACTATCCCTTTACTCAGGGAGGTTATTATCCAACTGGTGGTCAACAGTCTGGAAATGCAATCCGCAGTAACGAGCCAAACTTTCCTCAGCAGCATCAAAACAGGGATCATAATAATCCTGTGAGTTCCAATGATTCTTCAATGGAAATCTAAGGCAAGTAGTTATCAGAAAGCTTCATGGTTAAAAGAATTTGTTTGGGGGGGGGGGGGGCAATGGTGGTCCAGTCTGGAAATGCGCACCAATCGCTCGGCGACGGCTTTCCTCTGGCCTGGGGCGGCGCGCAGAGCGTGCCCACCGCAGCGCATAGAGGGTCATTACCGCTGGGCGGGGCAGGCGAGTAACCGAGCCGACATTTCACGCTCCAGTTGAGAGGCGCATTTGTCAATTTCACAGCATGGGGCGTGCCACTGGTATGATCCCTGCGTGTCCCCATAGTTCGCAGATGATTCTTCAATAGGGACATCTAAGAGATATGCGTTCATTTATGTCGAGCAGAGCGCCTTAGCGCGCACCATGCGCGTTTAAGAACGAAAATTTTAGTTGTGGGGTGTTGAGCCGCTGGGCGCTGCGCGGGCAGGGCGGGCGGGTGTTGGCGCGACAATGCTCATGGCGAGTGATGCGAGTTTTATATTTACCCTCTCTTTTGGGGCAATGGCAATTAGCTGCTGCGCTTTTCGTAGCGCGAGGCCACTGTTGGCCATGCATGCCTGAGTGTGACTTTATTCGCTGTTTGGAGCAGGGGTGTGGGAGAGGAATAGCTCATACCTCACGTCACGCTGAGTAATTAGGGTGGGCGGCGCTCTCTCCTAAATGGGCACCTCCTCCCTATTGATTGCCCAATGAGTCCGTACAGCCCTCCAATTAGTCTTTGTCTTTTTGTTTGTCTCTTTTCTCTGTCATTTGCCATAGCAATCTCCTGCCGCGCACCTTCTCACTGGGTTCGATGGGTTAAAAGTGTGCGGTGTTCGTGGGGGGGTGGGTTGGGCAGTTGCAATTACATTACTCTTTTGGCACATGGAAATTGGTTACTTCATACAAGAATAATTGCATGATGCTGTTGACTTGTTGAAGAGTGTGAAGAAGAATAGCTAATCGTGTGAGTTCTGGTGGCGCAAAATGGTATGTGATGAGCACCATAACCTATTAGTCTTGTCTTTTGTTGTCTTTTTGAATGCTGAAGCTTGGCCTTCTATGTCATGTAAAGGGTGTCGTTTTAATTGACTTGCAACTTCTGAAATGGTAATATTTGTTAGTAGATTTTATCTTTTATAGTTTATATACTGTCTGTTGCATTTTATCTTTTTTTTTTTTTTCCTTTATAGAATATGTTTTTTTATTTTTCCATTGTTACAGTTACAGTTTCTAACTAATTTGAGTGAGAAGTTGAGACCTATTTCCTTCCCTTTGTAACCATCTTTATTAATTCACTACAAAGCATATATACATCTGCTGAGATAAAATTTCAAATATATTCATTATTTTATTGGCATTTATTAATTGGTGCTACATGAATATAATTCATCACTTGATATAGATTGAAATAGGCATGAGCACTTTAAGAAGGTTGATGTTTGATTTTCGGTTGGAGGGAGGTAAATGTGAATGCGTCTTGGGTTTTTTGGCTTTTGCAAAAAATTAAAAAAAAAAAAGAAAAGTGGTTCAGGATTGTGTTTAGAATATCAGTCGGAATCCTTATGTTTTTGGTTTGTACCGAAAAAAAAGAAAAAAAAAAGAACAATAGTTTTATTTGGTTGGTTGGTTTTATAAAATAAATAAATAAATTTTATTTTAGAGATGCGTTTGATAAAATAATAGGATAATTAGAAAGTTGAGTGAAAGTTGGGTTTTTTTTTTTTTTTTTGAAGTTAAAATTAATTAGGCTTCAAATCAAGTGATTGGCTGTAAAAAGTATTTATAGAGCGAAACAATTATGAATCTCGAAATAAAATTAAATAAAATTAATTTAATATACCAAAAGGGTTTTTGGTTATAAGGAAATTCATTGGAAAATTAGAAGAAAAAAAAAGAATGGAGCGTAATTAGGCTTAAAAATGGGATTGTAATGGCTAATCTCATTTATGGAAAACAATTGTTTAACCATTTTGGATTTAATTTCACCTGTCCCCTTTCAATTATACCCTCTGTTTAATTTATTACGTAAAAATATTAAAATACACAAAAATATTAAAAATTTAATTTATATTACAAAAGGCATCCGGCAAAATAAACATTTGACATTAGACGAAAAGCTGACATAGAGCTCCCTTCTCTCCCATTTATTATAATAAAAAAATATATATTATTTAATTTATATTGCTTCGCCAATTTAAGGTCGCTCGGATTCAAGAAAGCTTGATGAAACCATTGTGCCTGGTGCTAGTGGACCAACGCGTGAGAAGTGTAGCCCATGTATTCAAGTCCTTCTCCACCACCATCACTACTACCACCACCATGTCCTCTTTCGCCAACCTTGCTACCATCGACTTATAAGAAACCGCCATCAAGTAACTACTGCTCTTTGCTTCCATCTTTTATGTACATAATTAGTCTATCATCAATCTCCTTCAAAGAAACTGGTTCACCGTTAATCTCCTTTACCATCACACGATACATCTAGCCCTAACATTGCTATCTCTAGTCCTTTCATCACGCTTAATCCCATGGTGGTCTTCTTTCACAAATTCACTATCATAATTCTGTTTTTAAAATGTGACTTGAGTATGGATCCACCTCATCCTCAATTACCTCGTTCTTCACTCGAGTCGCAATCTTCAGACTCGTTGTCTTCTTTTTAGCATGAGTGAAACTTGCTAAACTCGTCAATCCCAACTCAGTCTGTTGCCCTTACCGACTGTATTCTCTACCACAGACACCCTGTGTCGATATGTTAAAAAAGAGTTAGTATTCCTCACCTCCACTTTTTTCGTCGCCGCCGCATTAAGATAGTTTTTGCCATAAGAAAACTCCACCGATGATTCATCTTCAGTGGCTGATAATGGAGACATTGTACCATCGTCTTCCTTACGTGGAAAGCCCTCGCCTTTCGATCTGAATTTTTCACCGTTGGATCAAGTTGACTTTTTCTATTACTTTATGGGTCACTGATATTAAAGACCTTAGGAGTACAGAGGATGATCTTCATATGGGAGAGAGAGCATTTAGTGGAGGTCTGACTTGACAAGGGTGACATGATTGTTTTTTATATTTGTAATGCTCCATGTTAGCTTTGTGTTTAATGTCAAATGATTATTCTGAGGGATGCTTTTTTCTATAACATAAATTAAAGTTTTGTATTTTCTGTAATAAATTGAAAATTTGGCACACCAATGTAATAGGAGTGTAGGTGAGGTGAGGTATGACGAGTGAAATTAAATCACCGTTTTGAACCAAATACATAATATAAGTAACAATAATATCTAGCATTTTTTCTTTTTATATGTAAGGTATTAATGTTATATATAAGTATACTTTTTGGAATAATAATTTCATATTTTTAACTATTTAATAAAGATTAGTTGATTTAATTATACAAGATGTTTAATAAAATAATTTTCAAATATTTGAAGTGTTTAATAGGTCTAATCGTATAACTTGAAAAACATAACACTATGTTTACTTTACAATATATTTCATTCAAAGTTTAATCGGTATCATTTTTTATGTATTTAGAGGGCATTTTGCTGAGTTAATTTATGTAGTTGATAACTAGTTCGTATCGAATTCAATAGTTAGGTTGTAGATGTTTGATAAGCTTTTTCATACTCAATCATTAACTACGTTTCAAAGCTTTTTGTATCAACTAGTAGCTAATTTTTATATTATAGTTGGACTTCATTAATCCCATAAAAATAATTATACCAAAATTATTTTTTAATATATTTTTATAAACAATTAGATTGTAGATGTTTGATAAGTTTTTTAATACTCAATCATTAATTACGTTTCAAAGCTTTTCGTATCAACTAGTAGCTGATTTTTTATATTATAGTTCGACTTCATTAACCTCATTAAAATAATTATACCAAAATTATTTTTTAATATATTTTTTATAATCATTTAATTTATAGCTATTTACAAATCATAAGTTTCTATTAGGTATTATTTTCTGAAAATACATTTTAGAGAGAGTATTTTTTAGAAAATACACCATTTTATTTTAATGTATTGATTCCATTCAACTATTTTGGTATGTTTATTTTATTGCATCTAGCCGTAAAATGACATGAAAGTACACTTATCTATAGCTGCAGCCCAATGATATTTTCTCTCTATTTTTATTGAAATTACCCATTTGCTTATTTTCTCTCTCTGTCTCTCCCTCTTTATGTGCGAGTTCTCTCCATTTTCTCTACCATATCTCTCCTTTTGCTTTTTCTCTTTTCAAACATCTCATTGCTTTGATCATCTCTCTCGAGTTCTCTCCATCTCTCTCGAGTTATCCAAGCCTACCAGCAAGCCAAGGTCTAGGTTTTTTTTTTTTTCCTATTGTCAACTGAGGGTTTTGATTTCTTTCTTTACTCAATTTATATTCAAGATTTGAGAGAGATTGAAGATGCATTATTGGGACATATGAACGGGGTTAGATTTATTTAATTATAAAAGCAGTTTTCTTTTTATTAAACCTATTTTGTTGAAATTTTGGAACGAAGAATGAAAATGCATAAGATGATTAACAATGTTTTGCACTTAATTGAATTAATAAAAGGATATGCTTATTTGTAGGCTTACAAGTGAATCAAATAAGACCTAAGTGAATCAAATAAGCACCTAAAAATACTTTTAAAAAATTATTAATCTTATATAAAATATCAAATTCTATGCAGCAAAATCTTGCACTAACATAAAATTAAAATCTCGAAAAATATTCTCTTAATTATATTATTTTGAATTAATCCTAACCAAAATATCAAATTCTATGCAGAAAATCTGCACTAAATAAAATTAAAATCTCAAAATATTTTTAATAATATTATTTTGAATTAATCCTAACATATTTCACCTTTAGAGAGGTGACTTTATTTTGAAAAAGAAATTTTTGATAAAACACTCTTACATTGGTAAGAGAAAATTTTGGAGTCGCCGCCCTCATTTTGGGAATAATCTTGAATCCATCATTTCCAAATTTCTTTGGAAATGATTGACTCAGTTTTAACTACAGTCTAGGTATGGAAGTTGGTATGATCTCAAGAAAGTGTTAGGCACTCAGATCATCCGATCATAACTGACCTCCATTGTTTATTTAATTATTCACAACTAAGTATTGAGATTAACTTTAATTGAGATGCTAAAAAAATAGTTTTAATGCATTTTGTAAAACATGCTATTCATAAGTATTATATACTATTAATCATAATAATAAAACATAAAACTAAAATCATACAAAGAAAGAGAGAGGAGAAAAGAATTATAAATCATCCCCTGGATTACATTCTACCCTTAATCCCATTAAAATTTTTCATCCCCTATCCATTATAAACAAGCAATTAATTAGAGCTCATTATGAACCTTTTACATAATGCCCAATATATATAAAATAAAAGCATTAAAGAAACATACCATACATGAACAATATAATTACAATCCAATATAGTATAAGAATAAGAAAAATCATAGCAACAATGAATAAAGAATCAAGAGCATAATGAAATAAATGATTAAACAACAAGAGCATGCAAGAATTTAAAGTGCAATAATATTAAAGATAGTAAAGTAAAAGAGTTACATTTAAGTAAAACAAGATTTGGATTCAAGAATTTGATGTTCATCATGCATGATGAACAAATATGACCATCACAATCCATTTCTTGGTTATTATTGTTTTCAAGAGCAAATATGAGTCAAAAACGCAATAAGCAGTATTTATGCTTAGTGTTAAGACTTAAAAAGACCAAAGGAGATCAATTAAAATGCATAAAAATTAAAATCTGGGCTTCTAGATTGAAGCCACATGCCCACATGTAATGGCATGCACCATAACTCTTGTAGCGTGTGGGCTTTCCCAGACTAAAACCCAGAAAGCAGCTAAAAAGTTATTTGGCCATCAAGGTAGTGGCGTGCGCCACTACACACTCAGTTAGGGGCTGTTTGGTTGATTACAAATTCCCCTCGAAATCAAAGAAGAATAAGTGATTTTACTCACAAAAAAAAAAACAAAAAAAAAAAGACGAGGAAAATAACTTAGAACTCTCAGATGTTACCTTGTTTTGAAGAAATCACAATGATCGAAGGAAAATGTTAAAGAACACCCAAGAAGTTTTGATCCCCTATTAATAATCCGAGATTCAGAGATTAAGTGATTGTTTATTGGAGATTGACCAAGAAAACTAAGGGAAATTTTGTAAAAAGATTGATTAATCCCTTTGATTCAAGCTGTAAAACTTATTATAGATCAAATCTAGAAATTTAGTATTAAATTTTCAAGAGTGTTCCCTTGTAATAAAAAACCGACCCCTAATCCTTTAAACCCTTGGCCTATTTATAGGCAAAAGGTGATTAGGGTACCCTAACTTTGGGTCCTAGGTTGCATGGCCACTGATGGGTCCGAAACGGGTTGGATTTAGTTTTCATAAAATCAGTCCGGGTGGCACGCAAAATGAGACAGTGTGCCAAGACATGTCATGGGAGCACTCGAGGCACTTCCTAGGCCCTGCTTCGATGCAATACCCTTAAAAATATGAAATTGCCCGATGAGTCGCCTTTCTTAAACTCGGATCGTTAATCCGAGAATAAGTTGATCAGATGTCTCGAACTCGCTTTATGATAAAAAGAAGTTATCATCACTGAGTCATATTGCTGGGGCAAAATTTAAGCATCTATAAAGATTTAGATATTGCTTTATTTTCTAAACACTAATACGAAGAGAAGCCAATAAATCCTAAGAGAATTGCCTGTTTTGACTGTTCGACCATTCATAGAAACCTGTAAATCTCTACTGTTATCAATCTCGATATCAATATGATGATTTGAATATGATGATAAGGAGATATCCATTGCACAACTCCATATTAAACTCAGGCCCCCCTCCTACTTGCACCAAACTCACAAGAAACATCAATCCCATTTTGAAAATCACATTTATTATGTACCTTGCACATTTCGGTAGCCATAAGTTTTGTTTCCATAAAGAATACAAAACTAGGAACTTCAAGCTTTAACAACTACTTGAGATGACGAATTGTATTCTAAATTATTGAGACTCATTAGTCCCGGTGGGAGTTGCTTTATAATTCAGAAGAAATAGTGGAACCCTCCTCAATCGAACCTTTCCATGATAAATCTGATTTTCCTTGGTTGGTTAGAGGTGATTCAATGAAACTCTTCTCCATTTGGAAAAGTTGGGAGGCCGAACTAAAGAAGATAGCAGAGAGGTAGCTTTCTGAAATACTCTTGATCTCTATAATCTATATGATTTAGGTTTTGAAGGACTTCATTTTACCTGGAATAATGGTTAGGGGGTAATGCTAATATTTGGGAAAGACTTGATGAGGGAGTTGGCACTTTAGAATGGTTCTGACTTTTCTCCCAATATGAAATTAGACATCTTATTAGGCAAGGATCAAATCATTCGCCTATTAAGATTGCTTGGAGGGCATCGGCTAGTAGAAACAAACATAAAAAGCTTGTTCAAGTTTGAATAAATGTGGATGTAGGATTTTTCCTGTAAGAAAGTGGTGGAAGATTCATAGCTTAAATCTGGAGAGCGGGTTCCATTTGTTCCATTAGAAGAAAAATTCGAAACTGTGGTTTTGATCTTCGGATTTGGGAATCAAGACAGTTTAGTAATGTTAATTGGCAACTTGGGGATTTAAGAAATACATTACTGAAACTGCACAGAGGGGTGCAATCCACTGATTATGTGAGCAAACAAAGAGAAATTGAGCTACAGCTAAAGGACTTTTAGCTAAAGAAGAATCCTGTGGGTCTAATGTTCCTGAATATTATGGCTCAAAGAGAGTGATAAAAATACTTCATTTTTTCATTCCATAGCTAGTTTTAGGTATAGAAGAAATTCTATCCTGAAAATTATAGATGATAACGTAGTATAGACTGGAAAACATTTGACGAAATGAACGAACAACTTTTTTAACCATTCACTAGGGAAGAAGACCGCATTGCTCTTACAAAAATGCATCCCTCAAAGGCTTCAGATTCAGATAGTATGTCTCCTTCATTTCTTTCGATCTTTCTTGCATATTATTAGATCTGATGTGGAAAACAAAGTGTTATCTTTTTTAAACAATTGCAAATCCCTAGATTCTTTAAATCATACTTGCATTATCTTCATCCCAAAATTAAGAATCCGTAACATACTAAAAACTTTTGACCTATTAGTCTCTGTCATGTAATTTTTAAACTCGTCACTAAGATTTTGGCTAATAGGTTTAAGCTGATCCTTCCAAGCATCATTAGCAAATCCTAATCGGCCTTCATTCTTAGCCGCCTAATTATGGCTAATTGTCACAGGCCTGGAGTCTCGCGCAGCACTGTAACTTTTAGGCCAACATAAAAGAGCGTACCAGGCTGCGTTTCAACCTGCAAGGGTTGGGGCGGCTTAGCGATTAAGGAGAGTTCTATCCTAGTGGTCCTTTACCCATGCAAAGTCTGCATGCAGGCGGGGTATTGTGCCGCGGGGCACAACTGGTCCGGAGCTGGGCCGCTCCCCCGATGAGCCCATGGCAAGGCGAAACCAGTATGGTACGGTATGGCAAGGTTTGCCTCGGAGCCAAAGGACTGGCAAGTGAGCAGGCTCCCGGTGCGCCGCACGGGCGCAGTGCTGCGCAAGACTCCAGGCCCGTGACATAATGCTCTTATAGCTTTTGAAATCTTCCATCATATGGAAAATAAAACAATAGGTAGGAGAGTGTTTGTTTTGAAGTTGGATGTAAATAAAGCCTATGATAAGGTAGAATGACACTCTTTAAAAAATGAGATTAATGGTAAATGACACTCTTTACCATTAATTTTTGATTAAAACATCAAAAGACCTTCATCCTATTTGCATTGCACTTCTTTATGTTAAAAAATTTTAATATTTTAATAATATAAATAATTATTTAATTCATTAATAACTCGTACATAATTTATTGAAAGATGAAATTATTCTTATCAATATACAAACACAGCATTTTCATCTTTTCATTGAAAATTAAAAGCATAAAGCTTAAAAATTAGACATTCATATATTATTCAAAAAGCCGAGGGTCTATTTCACTAAACAACAGGGACTAAATAGTAACTCCCACTTAAATATTTTTAAGTAAGATGCAGTGAGGTACCATTTTGTAAGGTTAAACCAAAAAGAGAAACTATAAAAGAATAATCATCAAAGAGAACAGCCAGAGTGCATGGAAGATAGAGAAACTATTATAAGTTACTATTTTATTTTTATTTTTATTTTTTCCTGCTAATATAGTATATATATACACATAATATCAGATTATTTAATTTCCTGACACCGTAAAATTCCTGCTGCTCCTCCAGAACACAACCATCTCTCACTACCTTTGTTCATATTCCATCTAACTCTATGCATTGCAACAATATCAGGAGGGAGAACTTCAAATTTGTTCGCAGCTTTTCCCTTTTCACTTTCTCTCTCCTGTACCCCATCTTGTCTTTCATCTATGCATATCGATGCTTTATCCTCTCCGTCAATTTTATTACCAGTTTTTTTGGATTTTGGTTTAATTCTACTTTTCAGAGCTGCTAATGTTTCATTGAATCCAGATTGCCTGCCCGGATCCTCGCCATCGCACAAACATGCTAAAAATTTGACAAAAGTTTCCAATTCTCAAAGAAAGAAATATAGTGACAAAGCGGGATCATAGATGCAAACCTAAATCTTTGTTTAGACTAAAATAAAAATAAATAGAAACGCATAGTAAAGCAAGTTGTAATGAAATTCCAAAAATTACCTGATACTTGATTATCAGCAACTGGTGCTTTTTCTGCCTTATTGCTATTTGCTGTCTTTGTCTGGTCTGAGTCAAATAAGCTTTGCATGCATTGTTGATTGTCCTTGGCATTCTTAACTGGCTTCTTCAGAGTTAAAGAAGCATCCTGTAATGGAGTGTTAACTGTAATGGCCGATTCATCATCTTTACTTAGGGACCCAGCCATAAAATGAGGAGCACGATGTCTCGATGCATCTTTCTCTACTGCCTTTTTGGTGAGCTGATCATAGATACAACATATTAAGCTTTCGCAATGATCTAAAGCAACTTGGAAATGCAAATATGAAATGTATATGTGCAATTCAGTCGAACAGTCAATTGTGAATGATTTATGAATAAAGCATGACGAAGCATCTGACAAATAATTCTAGACAAATCTTCTAAACTACTTTGACACGTGTAAAGATTGACGAAAGGCAGAAAGTTTAGTACATGGGTTCAGAACAGTGATTTTGCTGTTATTTCAATCGGGTTAACATGTGCAAGTTGGATTTATTTAGAAAAGACAATAAAGAACAGAAAAGTTATTTTTCCTTCTCGAAATAGCATCAAATTAAGCACAAGATTTTCAGTCAAGGTAAGTGTACATGGCATTATTCCTACACCCAACCCACCCCAAACCCCACCCTGGATTTTATTTTAGAAAAAGACAATAAAGAACAGAAAAAGTTATTTTTCCTTCTCGAAATAGCATCCAAATTAAGCACAGAATTTTCAGTCAAGGTAAAGTGTTACATGGGCATTTTCCTACACCAACCCACCCCAAACCCCACTCCACCCCCCCCCACCCCCCAACCCCCCCAACCCCAAAAAAAACATTGACATTTTAGGTCCATTTGGTCCTGCATATTTGCATATTAATTAATAAATTCACAGGAATACATTCCCGTGGCATAAAACCCATTGAACATCATGCTACATGGACAACTTCTAGGAGCATAGCAAGTTATACTTGAAAATGAGGAGTCAATTTACCTGGAAGTGGCAAACGCTACCGTCTGCACCACAATATGCAACCATGCCTATTGAAATTCATGAATAAGTTAATTGGAATTGGAATTGGAAAGTAAAAGAAAAGGAACAATGTCACATTTTTAATTGACTAGGTGCAGGTTTATTGGAAAGCATGGGTTATGATGCCACCATAATTTTCAATCGAAAGATTTACATTTTAGTTTTACAACTATTTGCCTAAAAGACTTCCATGGGTGATAGCATGATAATATACCAAAGAGTAAAAGGGTAGCATATAAATTATAAGTAATACTGTATTGACATTTTCCGATCAAGGAGATCAAAAGCCACAACCCAACCTGCTTCACCCTACCTCCCCACTCCCCAACCTTCTTTTGTGAAAATATTTATGTTATGGACCATGCATGGGCTACCTTCAGACATACTTACAGTGACAGATTATTAAACCTATACAAAGGAAAACCATTGCTACTCTCACACCAGCTTCCTCCTAACAAGAAAATACAAATTACATCCTCTAAAAATATAATCAAATGGAATTGGGAGGGACATCAATGATACCTGTTTTTCTTGACACTTGAACATTCCAGATAGCAAAGGAGGTTGAACAATAAATATTATGCAATCCTGGTTGTTTAGACTCCTGAGGAGGTTTTCCATTAACATGGCCATCAGATGCAAACTTCACCAAGCTGAGGAGTGTCATTGTTCCATCATCCGAGGATAGGATAATAGATCTGAAAAAGTGATCAATAAATGGCTGTAGGATAATTTATTATTACCAAAAGGTCCAATCTATGTGTAATCCACCAAGAAAGACCGATACGACACCTTGGATCTGGCAGCCAATCCAAACTGTAAATGGATTTTAGTGGATGGTGTTCCCACAAAGGTCGAAATGGATCACTGCAAAAACCAAAGTTTATATATATATATATATATATATAAGTTTCATATATATATATATATATATTATATATATATATATATATATATATATTAATGATCCCAACTTTCTATGCTTGTAGCTAATTTAGAAATTGTGCTTAAAGAATAGTCCGACTAGATATTATAAACAAATTCCACATGAAAAAATTATCAACCAAATCTAACTCTGGTTGGCTTTTCATGCCTACTCCAGGAAAAAAGAAAAAGACTCCACACTTAATATTGAGAATCCATTCAAAAAGACATTACATAATTCATAAAACTGTGGGGACACAAATACATGTTAAAATCACAGCAACGTGACCAAAGAAACCTGATACCGAATGACAGTTAATGAAGGCACATCAAGAAACCATCATTTTTGTTCAGAAATCAAGATCTATTTCGAATCATGAGATGGAATGATGTATCAGTTTTACTTTAGAGTTTAGGCTTTTATTTTCGAAAAATAACTTACCTATAAAAAGATTTCCTAAAGAAAAATAAAGAAAACATTTTTCTTTAGAAAATACTTTTAAAGGTGAACTTTTTGTTGTTTGGTTGCAATATTGAAGATTAATTTTAAAATGTTAAAATTTTAATTTATAAGACTATAAAAATATTTTGAATTATAAAAATTTAATATTTTAAAATTTGCTATTAAATATAAGAAAAAAATACATAATATGGTCATCTGACTGGTGCTAAAAGCCGGCAGTGACCACTGTTCAATTTGGGTAATCAATAAATTAATAAATATGTATTTATAAGCTTTTTCTCTTGTTATAACAATTTTATCAACGTTTGGAAAATGTTTTCCTCTTTTAAAAAGAGGAATTTATTTTCCATTAAAATGACTCGATTTTCCATTTGAATAAGAAAATATTTCCAGAAATAAACAGAGCCTTAGTCTATGCTAATGCAAGTATGTATAATTTCGTTAAAATTTTTTGGAGGCTTCATCACTCCAAGCATATGATTTCATGAAAAATCAGTTGAAATTTTGGAATTCAGTACATGGTTACATCTTGATCAGTGGGCACAAAAGAAAACTAATTGGAGTAAATTTGTTGCTCAAAGTGATATGTGCATGCATTACAATATGTTCTCAGCAGCCACTCATCTTACATCAAACTGCAATAAAAAGTTCATGTTCTAACTATAAAACATATTCAAAAATCTATCCTTATTGAATATATGAACAAAAGAATTATCCATTATTTATACGTTTATAAAAAAAAATACATAGTGGCAATCAACACCATCAAACAAAATAGCACGTCATTAAGAATATGAAACAAAACAAGCTATGATATTTACCGTATGTCCCAAAACTTCAGGCCTCCATTGGAGTAAATTTGTTGCTCAAAGTGATATGTGCATGCATTACAATATGTTCTCAGCAGCCACTCATCTTACATCAAACTGCAATAAAAAGTTCATGTTCTAACTATAAAACATATTCAAAAATCTATCCTTATTGAATATATGAACAAAAGAATTATCCATTATTTATACGTTTATAAAAAAAAATACATAGTGGCAATCAACACCATCAAACAAAATAGCACGTCATTAAGAATATGAAACAAAACAAGCTATGATATTTACCGTATGTCCCAAAACTTCAGGCCTCCGTGTCCAGCAGTAAGTATAACATTTGAACTCTCATGATCACTGAAAATAGTTTAAAGTGCATATTATAAATCTAAAACAACACAGTAAAGAGATGCATTTCATAAAAATTACTAGCTAAAAAAGCCCACAATATTTTCTATGGCCATTTTAAACCAAATGGCAGTTCACTGCAAGAAGCAGCTTACATTGATTGACACAATAATGGAATAATTGCTCAAGCCAAGATGAGAATGCAAGCTCTCATGCATTTTTTGGCAAAATTATAACTCAATTAAGAATTCAGCTATTTATTGTTTTCTGGGATATGATTTATCATTCTTTTGCAATGGCATCATTTCACAATTCGAACATCGCACGCGCAATTGGTTTTGTGAATGACCATCAATATAACAAGCAAACTCCTCTTGGATGAGAGGTTCCTTGACTAAAAGGCAATTTTTGCAGTAAAAGCATTGACTCAGAAAAAATTGCAAGAAAAATCTATCATCTGAAATAATATACCTTTCAAATGGAGCCCATGCAACTGCTCTAATAGCATATGTATCTGCACTGAAACATAGCAAAGGCCTCGTATCTATAAAGTAAAAAGTAGTAAAACAATTTGCATCAAAACCTTGTGCCTGAAAAAATCATAGAGAGTAAGCACAGAGGGTATTTGAAAGACAAAATAAACTTCATCACCTTCAGACGTGCCACTCGCAGAGAACTTCCATAAAGCAACCTAAAAGTTTGTTAATGAAATGGTAATATCATGGTTAGATAAGAAATAAATCCTTTGGAATTGGAAGCCTATAGTAAAGAGTTAGGGATATATTACATATAATGAAAATTACAGATGAGATGGTAGGATTGTTCAAAATGCATGGCAAATGGAACTCAGTCAACCAGCATTATAACCATACTCAAATTGGATACTGAACAATGAGCTAAGGTTAAAATTAGCCATAATCAAATTAGGTCAATCTATTCAAACTCATTTCACTCGATCTAAATTCCTAAAAATCTATCTTCAGTCTAAAATTCATCTATCTAACTAAAATCAAATCTTTAAGATCTTGCAGTAAGTTTTCACCCTTAAAAAAAAAAAGCCACAAAAATTGAACAACAAAATAAATAAACAAATAAAGTTCAATTTTTTTTCCCTCATTCGACTTGACTAAAGCCAAAAGAGTTTTGGGAGCATGACCAATGATAATGAAACTATTGGAGTTAGGAGAGTCTGATGGTATAATTGGTAGAACAAACCCACATCAAGGGAGGTATATTGAAGAGATGTAATCTTTTCTGGTTCTTTTTTTTCTTTTTTTGTTTTCTCAGTGTTAAGGATAGTCAATACAAGTTATATTAGTTACATAAATACCATGAAATACATACAAATAGTATAGGAATTACTAACTTGTATCATTGATTGATGAGATACATACAAATAAAATTTTTCTCATAAAACATGGTACTAGAGGCTAGAGCATTAGAAAATAAAATTTTAGGGTTCCAAAAATATTTAGAGTTTTCTGCCATTGTTAGCAAGCTACTGAAAGTTTCGTTTTTAGTGTTTATGCTGCTATATTATTCTGTGGTTTCGTTTTTTAGTGAGCATAAAGTTTCGTTTTTAGTGCCATTGTTAGACAGTGAATTCTTTGAAGATCTTGAGAAGTATAGAAAAATGGTTGGCAAGTTGAATTATCTTATAGTGACTCGTCTCGACACTGCTTATTTAGTGAGCGTAGTAAGTTAATTCATGTCTACTCCAACAGTAAATTATTAGGTAGCCTTAGACCAAATCTTGTGTTGCTTGAAAGGAGCTCTTGGACCAGGTTTGTTATATTCAAATCATGGATATTCTAATATCAAGTGTTATTCTGATGTAGATTAGCAGGATCTACACCACATGTTGTGTCTTTGTTAGAGGGACTTTGGTTTCATGGAGAAGCAAGAAACAAAATGAGGTTTCTCAGTCCAATGCATAATCAACATACAAAGCCATGGCACAATCTGTGTGTGAGATAGTATGGATGTATCAGTTGTTGAATGAAGGTCGTCTTAAGTCTTCAACCTACTAAATTGTGGTGTGACAATTAGGCTGCTCTCCATATTGCTCCTAACCCTGTATTTCATGAATGCATCAAGCATATTGAGATTGATTGCCTTTTTGTTCGCGACAAGATTCAGGAGAAGCTTATCTCCACAGCTCATGTTAAAACTGTTGACCAGTTAGGGGATATTTTCATAAAACCTTTGAATGATAACTCATGTTGACTATATATATAACAAGTTGGGCACGATTAACATCTACGTTACAACTTGAGGGGAGTATCAAGGAAAGTCAATACAAGTTATATAAATTATGTAAATGGCATCATCTTTTTAGGCATTTATATTCCTAAATATTCTAGGTTCTAAATACTCTAGGAATTACTTCTATATAACCTTGTAGCATCTATTGATAAAATACATAGAAATACAATGTCTCTCACAGCACTCAATTTCATGAATTTTCCTTTTTTGATTTTGCATTTTGGATGTTATTTTTCCATTTTCTGAATATTTTTTTTTTTTTAATTTTATGATGATATTATATTAAAAAAATATGTTAAGGAAATATTAAAGAAACTAATATTTATTTTTAGAGATTGTCAAAGTGCAAGATTATTTTGGTTAAACTCACCAAAGTTCTATGTTAACTTGATCCAATTTAAAAATATGATGGCTAATTTGAACACTGACTTAGTTGCCTATATAATTTAAAACTTGTTCCAACTTTTGTTCATAATATATCTTCTTTTGGGGGCATAAACCATCTATTTATTTACAAAGAGCACAAGTATACTATGCTCATGCAGAAAAACCTATACATGCATTCTCATATTGACAAAATTATGATAGGAATGTTCTTCTAATCACTGGGATGCAGATGAAGCATAATATTGCTAATATTTTAACAATAAAAAAAAAAAAGATAAACATATTACAGTTCCATCATGGCATCCAACAAGTAAGTAGTCATGTGGATATGAAGTTGACCACTCCACCGTCAAAGGGATGCTGCATAGGAAATTAGCAATGAATGAAATATCATGGGAAATGGTAACAAAGGATTCACTTAGTCAACCCTAACTAGTTTGGGACTAAAGCTTAGTTGTTGTTGTTGTTGTTGATCAAATAACATGGGAAATAAAGGTCAACGAAGACCTGTTTCTGTAACCCATTGAAATTGTACAATATTCTACAACTAGATGAATTTGATGTTTTAATATAATATGCAATTCTGCACATCCCTTCAAATTAAAATCCCCGATCCTTTATCTAACAGATTGGGAGAAGGATGAAATGTTGCATTGAAGTCTTTCCATTTCTTCCTTTTATCCTTTTCTTGTTCTTATGCAAATGAATTTTTTAATCCGCATTGCTAGACAAGCAATATGTCAGACCCAACTGAATGAAAAAGCTTGAACTGTATTCTTAAATTACTACAATCTTCATCAAAGATTCTAGCTTGAAATGGAGACTGTGACAGAAACTAAATGGGTGGGTTTGGGGATGAGAAATTTTCTGCATAAACTCTTTATTTCTATTATAACGAGAAGACATAAAAAAAATGAAAATTTTTGTCTACATTACTGGATATAGGAAACTGTTTCCTCAATCTCAGTTGAATCTCATGTAAGTATTAAGAAGATAGGACATAGGCAAGTAAATTACCTCTGCATTTCTCCACATTTAGCAAATGAACATCTGAATACTGGCTTCAATTTTACAAAGCGAGGATCAGTATCTTCATTATGAGAAGAAGAATAAATAATTTTCACCGCATGAGGAAGAGGAACATCCCATCTGCATTCATGATAAGTATTAATTGAATAGATAGGACATAGGCAAGTAAAATTACCTCTGCATTTCTCCAACATTTAGTTAATACTCATCTTGAATACTGCTATCAAATTTTTTACAAAGCGAGGATATATCTCTCTCTATTTATGAAGCAAGAAGAATCAAATAATTATTCACACATCGCGCAATGAGGCAACAAGACAGGACGACACTCCCATCATAGCACTCATATTATAAGAGTAGGCAATCGTGGTAACGTCGCCAAAATCACCTGTTTTGGAAAAAACAAATGGAACAAGCAGCTAATCATAACACAACCAAGCTTCATATTTATGGTAAAGAGGGACATTGGTACGAAATGGAGCACTTGTTAGTTTGGGACTAAAGCTTAGTTGTTGTTGTTGTTGTTGATCAAATAACATGGGAAATAAAGGTCAACGAAGACCTGTTTCTGTAACCCATTGAAATTGTACAATATTCTACAACTAGATGAATTTGATGTTTTAATATAATATGCAATTCTGCACATCCCTTCAAATTAAAATCCCCGATCCTTTATCTAACAGATTGGGAGAAGGATGAAATGTTGCATTGAAGTCTTTCCATTTCTTCCTTTTATCCTTTTCTTGTTCTTATGCAAATGAATTTTTTAATCCGCATTGCTAGACAAGCAATATGTCAGACCCAACTGAATGAAAAAGCTTGAACTGTATTCTTAAATTACTACAATCTTCATCAAAGATTCTAGCTTGAAATGGAGACTGTGACAGAAACTAAATGGGTGGGTTTGGGGATGAGAAATTTTCTGCATAAACTCTTTATTTCTATTATAACGAGAAGACATAAAAAAAATGAAAATTTTTGTCTACATTACTGGATATAGGAAACTGTTTCCTCAATCTCAGTTGAATCTCATGTAAGTATTAAGAAGATAGGACATAGGCAAGTAAATTACCTCTGCATTTCTCCACATTTAGCAAATGAACATCTGAATACTGGCTTCAATTTTACAAAGCGAGGATCAGTATCTTCATTATGAGAAGAAGAATAAATAATTTTCACCGCATGAGGAAGAGGAACATCCCATCTGCATTTTATAGTGGAATCGTAAGTCGAAATCACTGTTTTTGGAAACAAAATGGAACAGCAGGCACATCTACAAACCAAGCTCATATTTATGGTAAAAGAAGGGAACAATTGTGAAATGCAATTGTTTGATAAACAGTCCATAATTTGAATTTCCTGTTACCACACTTGCCAAACCTACAATTTTTCAACCCCCTCAGGATCACATAATCATTTTTCATTTATTTCATATCCAACGTTGCAACATTGAACTGTATTATCAATCTCTATTACATTTCCCTAGAATTTTATTTGAACTCCATACTCTTCAAAAAAATTTCAAGCAAATTTCCTCCATAGAATTCGTTTTAGGAAATAAGTGATTTTCTCCTAATCAACCAAGTTAAGAAATGTAGGCAAAACAGACAAAGAAGAATCAAAAAGAAAATGTGAACAGTTTAATCATAGCCAAAACATACGACTTACACTTCTAGAGATCCATTTCCTAGCAAAACAGCAAGATAACCCATCCGATGATGGCATTTGGAATCAGATGCATGACAAGGCCGCCATTTCACATCCCAAACAACTTTTCCATTATGAGCTAGGCACAAAACAACTCTTGGCAAAGCAACATCCTTTGGAATAGAAAAAGAATTTGAGTTGATATTTGAAGAAGCAATATCTAGACCACAATTAAGCACAGGGTCCTGTATACAGTATTTATGTATTTGATGGTTCATATTGAAAGATTCATCATCTTTATTTTGAGTCACTAATGGTGGGAAAAGAACACCAGCACATTTATCGTTTGCCCTTGCCTCAGTTTCAAGTTGTCTACTCTGCACAGTATTTTCAAGAGGTAAATTACATGAAGAAAGTGCTTTGGCATAACTTTCTCGTCGTTTGCCTTTGTTTACCTCTGAAGTTATTTCTTGGGTATTCTTAAAAACTACTTCTATAGCAGGCGATTGAGATGAATCTTCTGGACATTGGACAGCAAGGGCTTCAACATATTGATTATTGCACTCTAAACTGTCAAGAGATTTATTGATTGCCTTCTTTCTAGGTTGTCGTTTTGATCTCTTGAGTTGAGTTAATTTATCCTCTGTGGCTTCATCATTGCAAGATGTTTCTGTTTCCTGCCGTCTTGGTCTCTTGAATTGAATAGACTTTTCCTTTGTGGCTTCATCGTTGGGAGATTCTTCTATTTGCTGCTCTCGGTTCTCCCTTGTGGTTTCACCATTGGGGGATTCTTCTAGTTGCAGCTTTCTAGATCTACCTCTTAACCTCTTTAATTCAGTAACTTTCTCCTTTGTGGCTTCGCCATTGAGAGATTCTTCTATTTGCTGCTTTCTAGGTCTACCTCTTGGTCTCTTGAATTCAGTAGATTTCTCCTTTGTGGCTTCGCCATTTGGAGATTCTTGTATTAGCTGCTTTCTAGGTCTACCTCTTGGCTTCTTTATTAGAGTTGATTTATCACCAGAAAAATTATTATATTGCATTCCCCGTTTTGGCTTTTTTACTGGAGGTGCTACCTCCTCATTCTCATCACTGACATTTAGAATACACCATATCTGAACGACACCTCTACCAGTAAGCAATGTGCCTAGCTTGTGATAATAAGAGTCAGGAGGATGGGCAGCAACAGCAACATACTAGGGAAGAAAAAAATACATGAAGTTAAGCCGAAAACTGAATAACATTAGTGTACAATTGTTTCATAAATTGAATTACTTTCAGTTATGCATGCAATACAGCATATGGCATTTATGGCCATTACGAAAGAGAAAAGAAAGAAACTTTCAATCTTATTGTCAAAGCACAACTCCCTTAACATCCTCACTACCTAATACTATAAACAATTAGAAGAGCTAAAATACAATGTGGAAAAGTACAGTGAATTTTTTTTTGTTTTGTCACCCATCCTATTAAGAAAGTATTAACATGACCATGGCAAGATGTGTAAATGACGAAAATTTTGAAAAGCCTTGAATTTATATGTTTGTTAAAATTACATATTTGCATTTACAAGACGTAACCATATTGGCAGAGATTAATAAAATTAAACATATTGAACGAAAGGTCTTGTTGCCAACATTACTGAACTATCTTGACTGTTTAAATGATGAATTAACAAAATGAAACATCGGATTGTATTCTCTTAATCACTTCCAACAAATAATATTGCTTCCCTGAAATTTACCTAAATGTGAAGATAACAAGATAAAACTTTCACAATTGTTTTGCATGATATATGAACTCTGCTTTCCAGTTCAATAGAAAAGATAGTTCAATGATGTTATCTGTTGTGGAATTTAACTGTTCTAAGTTCTTATTCATTTGAAAATCCATAACAATGAGAGAAACAGAAGGTAACAGCTTCATCGATGACTTGAGACCATAATGCTCGTTGTGATTTTATGAATCTCAATTCAATAATTATTAATTATGCTTGTTAGTCTGAATTTGTAGAAGTTTCTATAAGCAGTCCAGTATTTACAGCTCAAGTAATAAGGATCAACCTCCACAAAATAGAAATTGAAGGGAAAAGAAAGGAGGTGGAAGGGAAGGAGAAAAGAAAGGAAACGAATACCTCACATTTGATATGAAAATTAGGTTTTTCATGAGCCCTAGGACACCAATCCAATGCCCAGACAGACCCTCCAACATACATCACAAAGTCTTTGCTGCAATAAAATACAGAGGAGAACATTTATGAACAACTACATAAGATAACTTGATAATTTAGTATTTAAGGACAAATTACAAGAAAGAGCAGCAAGTTTGAAGTTGGATACATAATACATTTACTTTATGAATAAACCTAGAATGTCCTAAAATCAGGAAGCTCCATCAATCAATAGGAAACAAATGCAGGAAAAACCAGCTTGTATGCCAATAACATGCCATATAATAAAATTTACTGCTCTTACTAACAACAACTGAAAGGGCGTTTGGTTCAGCTAATTCGTACTCAACAGCTAGGTTATAGGTGTTTGGTAAACTTTTTGATCAGCAGTTAGCTCATAGAAGTCTTAATCAGCTACTGATTCCATCAACTATGTTTGCAGCTTTTTCATATCAGCTGATAATTGATTCGTATGTATATTATATATGGACTTCATTAACCTCAAAGAAACTAATTACTAGTATTTTTTTTTTTTTTCAAATTAATATGTTTTTATGATCATTTTGTTTATAAGTATTTAAACAAAATAATTTTTTATTAAATATTATTTTAAAAAATATAATTAATATTTTTGTTTATTTAATACATTAATATAAAAATAATATATTCACTTTAAAATTTTTTTGTAAAAATACACATTATACACTATAATATATAAAAACAATTATGCTCTTAATGGTCATTTTATATTCTAACAGCAATGACTAGCAAACTTTTACCCAATACCAACATTCATAGGTTAATTGGCTATGAGCCATTAGCCACCAGCTATCACCAATGGCTACCAGCTATCAGCTGGTATGAACCGCTGAACAAAACAGATCCTAAGCCTTATCCCAAAATTTAGTACTCCTACTGGCAATAAAATTTCAAATGGACCAATCACAAATTAAAGAAACTCTAAAGAGAAAAGCATACAAAAAAAATGGGTCTTTAGACTTGTACCTAGATTCTGGAATCGTAGTTCCCCCATCTAGTCTCTTCTTCTGCAAGAGCACCAAACCAAAAACAAATGCTAGTATTATATGCTACACATCTGCATAGTAGAGAAAGTAACATACAGATCAAAGATGGCAAAGAAAATATCAAAAAGGCTTCCCTTGAGTACCTTTGGAACAGTTGATGATGAAAACTGAGGTAAATTTATTTCATGAAGAAAACTTCTCTCCTGAAAATTTTTCATTTCACCAGCAAATCTAACTGTTCTTGGTTCGTAATTGTAATATCTCCATTCTCTGGTTACATACCAAATTCCAGTTACACATGAACATAATGTGACAGTTTAAAATCAACATACAAAGCCAAATTTGCTCATATGTTTAGTTACCTTAAGAATGTTATTGAAGAATATAAGCATTGAATTTCTGATTCGTCAAGAGAATCAGACTCTGGTTCGCCACAAAGCTTAGCAATCGTGTTCATAGCTTTGAAGTGATTCTCTACCAAATAATCAAACTGCGAAACCCTAATTCCAGGGCCATTAGGTCCCAATGATTCTTCTTCTTCTTCCATTTTTTAAGTCTGATTAAATTGGGAACGAAGAATTAAACTGAAATTCCTTTGATAGAAATTACAGTATTATTTGAATTAAAACGGTAATTTGAGAAGAGGGAAGCTCTTACCTGCCCTATGTAGTACGTATTTCTCGTTTTTAATGCAGATATTGGGTTTCAAAAGCTAAACTTTGCCGGTTGTTTTAACAGTAAGTTCACAATTTTTGAAATTTAGTTACTATAGTAACTTAATTTCAAATTGAATATTTAATAAATAAGCTTACCTAAACAAGTTAAGGCAATAATGGCTGCCACAGTCACGGTTGAGAGGAAAAGATATGTTTCGCGACCTGAGGCTTCACCAGCGCCCAAAACATTGCTAGCCTTGGCTAGCCGAAAGCTGATCGCAAAAAGGTGGGAGGGGGTAGCTATCGCCGATGGCGTTGATGGAGGAGGGAGAGCCCTTTTTGGTTCGGTTCTCACTCTTTTCCCTTATTAGCTACTGAAACAGGTTTTCAGGGTTTAATAGATTTGTATTAGGTTAATTCGATTTGAGATGGTTTTTGAAATAATTTAGAAATTGCCTATCGCATTTTTTTTATATAGATTTTACTTTTACTTTTAAAGAACAGCCTGTTGGAATAACAATATTGAATTTAAACCTCAAAACCTACAAAATAGCATTCTTCTAAATAGGGATGGCCACTAGGTCAGTTCTAATCGGAACTAAACTGGAACCGAACCATACAGTAGACGAATTGGAATCAGATCAAAATCGGTGGTTCAAAATTTTGAACTAAAATCGACAGTTCAAGAGCCGTTAAGATTCATGTGAATGTTAAAAAATGAACTTGAACCGGTCCAAAATCGGCGATTAACCAGCGGTTCCAGTCAGGTTTGAACCGGATGCACAAACAAAATTATTTATAGCTTAAAATTTTTTATGAAAAAATTTATATCACTTGATTTGATTGTATATGATTTGATTTATGGTAAAGAGAACTACACAATGGTACATAATTTATAAAAAATGTGAAAAAGAGTACACATGATTTGATTTAATTTGTACAAAAAATGATCCCTGAATAGATGATTTGTAAAAAAAAATAATAATTTTATGTGTACAAAAAAAAAAAAAGGTACAAACAGCTAGTTGAGAACTTGAGATGACTTTTAATTTTTTTTTATTTTTGGTAAATAAATTTTATTGATTTTTAATCATTTATTTATTTATTTATTATAATTTACTAATAATTTTATTGTTTTTTACTTTATCTTCATAATTATTTTATTATAATTTACTAAAATACAAAACATGATATGTTGTTATTTATTCTGAGTTCATACAGGGACAATTTGGGAACATAACAAATGAAAAATATGGTAATACCATAATTGATGTTGATGATTATTTTTCACAAACTAATTCATATATTAACGTCTCACTTTTTTCATCCTCAAAATCATCCTCTCATTTCAATAGTTCATTTATTTTTTTCTATTGCCTAATTATTTTTACCTTAATCATTTGGAATTATCTTTTGTTCTTTTTTATTTTTCATACATCCAATTCTAATATTCTTATCTAATCTTAAATTTTTCCATTCATAAATTTTTCCATTCATAAATTTACTTCATTTGATTTTTTTTAATAATTTTCTTAGTATTTGAAAATAATAATTTCCAACTCATTCCATTAATTTCAGATTCCATTTAATTCATTTTTTTCCATAATTCCATTTAAAAACATGGAACACAATTCACAAAGCTCCAAGGAAAAGTGAGTTACTCAAAGCGTGGAAGAAATTGATTTAAATGATCCATTGATTGATTTTTCACCACAATTTAATGATGAAGTTCAATATCAAACTAGAGTTGAAGAACATTATATTCGTCATTATCCACCACAAGAAGAAGCAACATCTCCTAATATTTCAATAGATAAACCACCAAAATCAGATATTTTCAAGAAGCACTTTGCAAAAATTGTTCAAGAAAATTGTTCAAGATAACGGAGAAATCAATGCGGTTCGATGTAAAAGAATATGCATTCAAGCTTGGAAAAGGCTATGATACTCTCAATAGGCATTTAAAATCACATTATCTAGATGAGATAGGAATGGATGTAACTCAAACTCAATTGTCGTCATCAAGATATGGTGATCCTAACAATCCTCTATTTAAATATAGGGATGAAACTAATAAAATTGAAATGGCTAAAATAGTTTGTATGGAACGATTATCTTTTTCATTTGATGAAAAAATTAGATTTAATAATTATTGTAAAAAAACATTAAATCCTTTAGCAAAAAAGACACCTAGGAATACATTTAAAAGGACAGTCTTATCTATTTATTTGAAAGGACAAGAAATTTTAAAAAATGTATTTACAAATTAACTGGTAAAAACCTTGCTATTTGTTGTCCGAAATATTTGGTGTGATTGCTTTGGCATAACTCAATTCTTATAGGTAGAAGTGTTGCTTCCCATCTAGATTGATAATGAATAGATAAATTCAAAAAAAGAAAATTATTGCAAGCTTAGAGTTTTGATGACTCTCCGCCGCCCACCATGAATATTCTACATGGTTAATATATTTAATCTTTAGTAGAATTACTGAAGTTTGTACTAAAAAAATTTTTACACAATTGTTTTTGATAATGCTAGTGGCAAATACAAGCATCAAATAAATGCAAGGTTAAAAAAACTCTCTATTGTCAACTTGGTGAGTTTTTCACAGTTTTTTTTTTTTTCTTTAGTTGCAATGTCATATTTTAATCATATTTTAAATTTATGTGTTCAAGATGCATTAACAACATTAAATGTGTTTTTACGTCCAATAAAAAATGCTTTAAATCATTTATAGACACATGGACATGTTAGAAAAGAATTTAAAAATTTTTGTCACTCTATGGAAAAAAAATATAAAAAATTTTCAAGAGATATTCCTATAAAGTGGAATTTAACTTATAAAATGTCAAATGAGTATTATAAATATAAAGATATTCTTTCTTCATTTATACAATTGCATGCATCACATTTTCAACTTTATCCAACCAATTGGACTATTTGTAAAAAAATATTAGCTTGGACTATTTGTAAAAAATTATCCAACCAATTGGACTATTTGTAAAAAATATTAAATTTTTTGCAAGTTTTTGAAAATTGTACAAGAATTTTTAGTGGTGTTTATTATCCTACTTCCCATTTATTTCCATTTCATTGTTTGCCCATAAGTAGTGCCACAATTGAAAATGAAAATGATGACGATTTACAAGAATGTATATTCATGATGAAAATTAAATGGTTAAAATATTATACTGAAATTCCAGATTTAAATTTAGTTGCATTTTTTCTTTGTCCTAGATTTAAGTTAGTTGTATTAGAAGAATTTTTTCGTCATTATTATGGATCTTTTAATATTGAAGTAGATTATTTTTCTCTTACTAATAATGTTTTAAGGTATGTCCGTCAATTGTACGATGAGTATTCTAAATTAGTATCTCCCCTTTCCTCCGCCTTCTTCAAAGTATCCACATCCACAAACTACACTATCCACCCACTAAATTTCATTCTACACAATTTACTTTCATGCAAAATGTTTCAAAAAAACTAAGGGAAGGTCCACATTCATACAAAGAAATTGAGACATATATTAGCATAGATTTTGAGTTTTTAGGTGATGATGTGGATGAATACCGAACAAAATTTGACATTTTGGATTGGTGGAAAAAGCATGCAAATCGCTTTTCAGTCTTATCTTCAATTCCAAAAGATATTCTTACTTGTCCAATTTCTACTGTTGCAGTGGAACAAACTTTTAGTGCGAATGGACAAATTTTAGAGCGAACACGGTCAAGATTATCGCCAAATAATATGGAAATGCAAGAATGTGTGACAATTGGACTAGAGCGGCATTGAGAACTCAAGACCAACAAAATTCAAGCGATGACAATGATTCTGGCTCATTAACGGGGACTAGTGGCACCGATGACTAAAATTAATTATAATAATTGGGAGGTTATTTTCCATTGTATTAATAAAAAAAATAACTACTTGGGCTTTGATTTCCTTTAATTTCCAAGAGGATTCGTAGGCAATTAAATTAAAATTTTTCAATTCGAGAGACGAGCGTAAAAAAGATGAGCCCTTCAAGGGGGTTAAATAAAAAATTTTCAATTTAATTTAATTCAAGTCGCAAAATAAAAAAAATTTTTAATTTTCTATATTAAGTGAAGTTAGCAAATTTTGTAAATTTAATGTAATAAATAAGTTCTAAGTTAATAGAAGTTTTTAACCTTTTAAAAATTATAAATAATTTAATTTAGTTAATAAAAAATTTAAAAATTTTAAAATTATTATTTATTTTAATAATTTATTTAGTTAATAAAATTTAAAATTTTAAAATTATTATTTATTTATGAATTTGGAATCAAAATTTTATTATTTTTTTAAAAATTTGCGTAATACCTGAACCGAATCGGAACCGTAATTCGAACTGTCAGTTCATCGGAACTGGACCGAAATCGGAGGTTTAAGGGTCGATTCTGGTTCAAAATTTTAAACATCTCAAATCTGCGGTTCATTGTACCGGCCATGCCTACTTCTAAAAAGATTATTTCACTACAAGGTAAAAGAAAAATATAAAGCAAAAGCGCTCCCAAAATTTAATAGATTCTCCTGAATCGATTGTAATTTTTAAATAAACAAGAACTGACAGTAAATCGATTTAATTACCCAGTAAAGAGGTTTCTTGATAAAAAAACAAAGCACAAAAATAGTTACATAAAAGCCATAGCTTGAAATTATTTGTTAAAATTATGATAAATATTTTCGAAATAAAAAATAATAAAATATTATTTGAATTAGGCCTCATGGATATATTGCGCGCATGGGGCAAATCCATTGGTTTGCATTAGGATTGGACTTTTGGCCTTATTTTTGTGCAAGAGAGCCTAACCTCTTTCTACACCTTTCAATAGCCTAATATTAAGCACCTATAAATAAACAACTTTAAAGCTCTCAAACAAACAACATGGGATCTTTTGAAATACACTACATCTACAACAATCCCCACATATTTCAAAAGATTTTATTTTAAAAATTAGTTTTTACTGAGTTAAAAACATGGGTACAAATTGTTTTCAAATCTAATGTCTTTGAGGCTACGAACCAGACCTAGACTGATATGTAATATACAGAGTGAAGGTGAAGTAACATTTATGCACCGAAACACTTTGTTGTATGTTTGAAATCTTACCAATCTCACTAAATCCTTATAATTCTCATTGTTAACGTTGTTTTGTGCTAATAGGTCGTGCGCACATCTAGTTATTCATAAATGTTCTAGAGAATGTTCAAAAGTATATTATACTTTTATACATAGCTCAAAAGGAATATGTGAATCATTAAGAGCATTTAGCTCTACCTCTCATTTAATGCAGCTTAGCACAACTCACATCGTAAGAAGGAACAAAATAAATAATGCTAACAGAATTAACAAGTGACTTGTTATTACCCATATAAAAACACATTGGA